GAGAGAGAGAGAGAGAGAGAGAGAGAGAGAGAGAGAGAGAGAGAGACAGTGTGTGTGTGTGCGAGAATTTGGGCTACACTAGTATGAGTATTTGTGGAGAGTGCCTTCATGTGCCAATAGGCACTTGTCTGAAAATAGCCATGAAATATGTTGAACAGGATGAAAATATGTGTAGGCAGGTGAATAAGGCATTTTTTTTTTCTGTCTCTGGTATGACCCATGGTCATGTTCAGTGGGGCTCATGGCCACAAAAGTTTCCTCATATAATTCAAATTAGCTTGTTTCTTGTAAGTTCTAGATGACCCCTCTTGGGTCATCCAATGGGTCTCTATTTTCATTTCCTTCCCAAAGACTTTTCCCTATTCAGGTGTTCTTAGTAAATGGTCTTTTCAAAAGCAATTTAGGAGAGTTTTTACTATATTCTAGTGTTATGAGAAAAAATCTTTCCCTTCAAGATCATACTCAAACACCGCCCCCTACCATTAGTAGCCCTTTGCTTCTCCTACATAGCCAATGGTGCAATGGTCATCTTCCCATTCTACGCCTCATTTTCCTCTTCTATAAAATGTTGGACTACATGATCTCAAAGTTGCCTTTTAAAATATTTCATCTAAAGTACTCAGTGCCTACAGGGAGTAAGGCACTTTGCTAGGCTCCAAAGCCCAAACCAGCAAACAGCTGCTACCTTAATGGAGCTTCCATTCTATCATTGTCTGAAGGCCCTTTGCTATTTCCCAGTGGTAAAGTTGCCATCCCCACTGGCACGTATTACCACCTTTGTTGACAGTCTCAGAAGAAAACCCCAAGATGTGAACAAATGAAGATACTTGGGCCCTTTTTTCTTTGTGTTTGGATCTTTCCAAATCATATTGAGGTAGAGGGCAGGAAGGAAAGGTTTCACCCCCCTGGACTGTCATGTGACTAGAGTACTTGGCTCTCTTCGAGTGCCAGTCTAGCACACCTTGCGAATTCTGAATCACCATGTAGTATCATCACCCTCCCCCTTATAAAAAAGGGGGAAAAGTAGTCAATTTTTCAAAGTTCTCTGAAATCTGACATATAAAACCATTACTTAATTTCCTTCCTTGTAAATGCATTTTGATTAATTCATTTTCTTTCTCTAACAGGAAATGACAGACAATATGAGCAATGGAGGGCCACAACTAATATTTAATGGAAGAGTATAACACATTTTTTAAAAAATTGAAACTTTTTTCTTTCTTCTGGATTTCCATCAGAAAACGATATACCAAAGGATTCGTACAATATGGAAACATTGTTGGCTTTTAGTGCTGGGTTTCTGATGTTACGGAACTTCCTGGCACAATTCCCTCTTGGATTTTCACTAACATTTTTCTTCCTAGATTTGGCCACATGTATCTCTCCATTTTCTTCTGTTGGGCTAAGAACTTTCCAGGAGTGTTCTGGGAAGGGCTTTCTGATCAGCTTTTCAAACCACTTCCATGAAGACTTTTCAGAAGAGGGAATAAGTGAAATAAAAATTGGGTTCCCATATGGTCTAAACCACACTTTGACTAGCCGTGAAAAAGACAGGGGAGAAAGAAAGGTGGGTCTTGCCTATGATTACTATCAATGTGCAAATTAAAAGAATGCCCATTGCCTGAGGATATCTCTGTACTGAACAATGGACAGCTGCAAGAACAGTAGGACTCAAAATCTCAGCCATGCCTTGTAAAAAACAACAAACAAACAAACAAACAACAACAATAACAACAAAAAAACCTGTAAATATTTCCAATTTGTGGATTCAGCATATTTCATAATTTATTCAAAAAATAAGATAAATAAAATGAACCCTAAATTAGAGGTAAAGTGATTTTTTTTCTTTTCAGAAAGAATACTGGTCAGTATGATAGCTTTACATGGTTTGCATATGATTGGAGAGGTTGACAAATGATTACGAATTTCCAACCAGACTGTGAAGAAGAATCTGTAGGTCCATAAACAATGACTCTGGCTACAGAGAAGTATATGTACATATATCTTGTAAATATGGAAAATATATACATAGCATATATTTCTAACATACATGTATGTAAATAGAATGGTGAAAAATTGGAAAGATTTGAGCTATAGATAAGACCTTGTCCCCATGATTTTGTGGGGATTTCTTCCTATACCTTTTTCAGAGACCACACATCATTGAATTCATTTTGATGTGTCCTTTCGGCGTATTTGGTGTTGGGTACTGAGGAGGAGGTTGTTGAACAAGATGATGAAGCAAAAAGGAAAATTGTAGATGAAGTGGACCTTCTGAGTGTGGTTTATGAAACACAGGTTTTTATATCATGGTATTATTTCATATGCACATCACTCATATGTGAGGTGGGTCCCCATGTGTTTACTTACACGGCTTTTCATGACCTAAGTCATTATAAATCCCTTCTGGCCAAACTCAGGCAGGTGGATGACAGATGATTTAGTCCCCAAATGATGAAATTCAAATTGGTTTTGGGTTTCCTTTCTTTAAAACTTCACAGAAAACAGTAGAGTATTGATGCTTAACCAGCAATGAGACACTCTGTGTCCCCAAAAGAAACCTCAGCTAGAAGAAAATGAGAGAAAATGAAAGTGTATGAAAATTATTCCTGCCTGAATCTTTAAATAGCCCCTGGTGACTATGAGTAGAGATAGTAAATGACCATCCTCTTGGGAAATGCAGGCATCACCTTCATATCATCCTCACCTTTGTTTGACTTCACATTGTATAAAGTCCTCCCTCACATTATTTCATGTGATCCTCACCACAACTTTAGGAAGCAGGTAAAACAGGTATTGTTTTCCCCGCGTAAAGACAAGAAAATTAATATCTAGAGAAACTGAGTGACTTCCTCTAGGTTCCACAGCTTGTAAGTGGTCACAGCAGGATTCAAATCTGGGCCTTCTAGAGGGTTCTTCCCATGTGCTTTCAATCATGCCATTTATGCCTCCCTTCTGTTTGATGGACATACAACCTCTGGCAACAACTAGGGAAATTCAGTTTTGTTTAATTAAATTTTCCTGAATTGGATATTGATTTCAAGGTCCACGGGTAAGCTAGAGACCACTTTAAAAAAAAAGTTGAGAAAGAAATGACTTATATTACAGTTATTATGTCATTCGTCATTTTTATTTTAGAACCTTGCTATGAACTTTATGAAAAAAAAAATGTCCAGAATTTCCGCAAGAGAAAAACTCATATTCTGTTGCTAAGTTCTAAACTGCTTAATAGTCATCCCCTTCCCAATCTGATGGAAACCAATGAATCTAAAAGTTTATTGAATATCTCTACATTGTCTCTCTGGATAAAAACATTGGCTCATAGCCTGTTCAGGGCTATTTTTTTTTTCTGTTCTTACTAAAAGCCTTGCAAGCTTATCTATATCTCTACATTATCAAGTCAATTGGTTTCAGAAGTCACCCACTCATCCCATGAAAAATAATGAACTAACACATGATGGCACATGGGAGGTGTGCGTGTGCCCATCTGGCCTCTAGTCCTGTAAATCCAAGGGCACTCTGTTGTAATCCTGCTCTCTAAAATTCTATTACTTGGAAGATTAGAGAGGTTTTTTTCTTTTTTTTTTTAATAACAGAACCAACACCAAATATAACTTAATATGGTGTTTCTTCCTTTATAGCCTACTTTGTACAATATAAAGTTGCAATGTATTAGGCCCAGAGGTGTTTTCTGGGTAAGATATTTATGCCCCTTGAAAACTTTTACAAAATCCAAAGCAGAAAAAAAATTTTTTCTAAAGTAGCATATGGATAGACTATCGTTCCTTTGTTTTTTAAGATGTCACAAGAGACTCTAACAACAAATATAATTAAGAAAATGAACCAACAGCATATGCGAGATGACATATCCATATATCTCTTTTCAAATGCAATTATTGTAAGTTGAAAAAAAAAAACTTTCAGGACTGAAATCACATTGAGGTTTAAATGGAATTTTTTCTGATCTCATTCCAGAGAAGGAAAAAAGCTTGGGAAAGCATCACAAATCCAAGTCTGTGTGCTTGGAAATTTAATTTTCATCACACATTGAATTAAGAGCTATAATTTTATAAGTGACTCCACTCAAGAGTTGGCATGAGTCAGTGCCCTCCAGGGGGATTGTAATGGGAGACCTAACGCCTAACTGTCAGGGAGGCTGATGTGGTACTGGGATGGAGTGTCCAGCCATGCCACAGAGGGGCACATCCTGCCAGAAGCCTCAGAGGGAGAAGGGGTAGTCTGCCTGGAAAATGGAGAACTCAGTCGGGCTGTGGTCAACAAGGGGAACATTTGACAGAAGAGTTGGTCCTGTGACTATGCTGATGTCTGTCTCTTTAATAAATGAGGAGTGTGGATTTCTGACTGCTGTGGATTTCTTTTCATTCTGATAGTTCATAGGCTTTAGGCAATTAAAAGAAAAGTTTGCTACTTAGTTTAGAAAAAAAACAATTTGCCCCATATGCAAAGATAGTAGCTGCAAATACATGAGCGGCTACACATACACATTGGAATCACATATTTTCTGCCTGTTCCAGGGACAACCATTGTCTGAGTCTTCAACTTACTGGCTATTATTTCAAGCCCCATTATATCTGAGTCGCCACTATATGGGGTCCCATTATTCACTGCCCTGATTTTTTTTTTTCTGTTTCAGTAAATGGTAGTCACCAATGAAGAGATTTACTAATAACAGTACTGTCAGTGAAACAAAACAAAACAAAATAGAATAGACAACAAGGTGGGACTTGTTAATCATCTGATCCCTTTCTGGAGACCTTGGGTTGGTAATCATTCAGAGTAGGCAAAACATCCACTCCCAATATTCAATTTCCCAGAAAGTTAGAAATACCTATTGACCCAGTGGAGACTTGATTTTATTCCAGACATAATGGGGAAGAGAAGATTGGAAGCTGAGAGCTCTGCACTAAATGCAATGATGAATTGCTTACTGAGGGTTGGGATAGGTCAAATAAGAAGATGGCTGTGAGTTCAGTGCCAGTGCACAAGACAAGAGGTTTGTGCCATTTCCCATTGGATTCCAGAGCAGAACCAAGTTTCAGAACTGAATCTTTCTGACATGCTGCTTGCCAGTTAGCAACTGACTGGAGGGGCAGGAGTCAAAAATGATATTGTGGTGCAAGGGATTTGAACTATCCTGTGCTTAGCATGGACATTGCCAGGTATAAGAGTGCTCTCTACCAACAGAAATAGTGAGCCTTCCATGACTTAGGAAATAAAGCCAAGAGAGTTGTACAAGGCTTTGGAAAGTTAAGTAAGTTACCGGGGGTCGAATAACTAGTAAGTATCAGAGACTTTCAAAGCCTATCTTGGTCTTCCCAACTCCAAGCTCAGTATGTTGTTTATCCACTGTGCAATATTGCCTCTATCCAGGGAGGCAGTCACATTAATTAAGAATCAGCTTCCAAATGCCTCTAGCAGAAATTGATTCTAAGTAATTTGTGGTTAAGTGTTTACTAGGAAAGGACATGAAGGTATTCCTTTCCTCCAACTCAACATGCTGTCCACTATGTCATACTGCTTTCTTGTCCTGCACTTGGAATCTCTGACATTGAATCTTTGATTTCTTAAAGTCTTTGTCCCTCACAAGAGATGCCATTAGTCCAATGAATTATTTAACAAGTTAAAAAAAAAAGAATTAAGAAGTTTCTTAAAACTCTACCAGTTCATCTAAACCACTAGCTAGCCAGCTGAATGCAGCCATGTTTTAGTCCAAAAGCCCAAAAGTCTCCTGATGGATCCTTGGCCCGACTGCAGATAGCCGTCCCAAAGAGTGCCCACATTTCTCACTTAATGATGAAGAACCTGATTACCAGATCCTCCATCAGGTCTGAACAGCCTCCTGCTTAGATCCCAGGCATCTCTGGGGTCCCTTTATGTGACATATTTTGTCTTCACCTCTGACTTTTAATTCTCTTCAGCTTGAAGCTTCCATTATTCCAGACAAGGTCTTTCGTTCTTTCTTCTTTCTCTTGAACTTCTAGTTTTTCTACCTTATGTGTATCACACGTTTTAAAATTATGACATCTGCAGCATCCATCTTTTATCAAATGCCTTATCCACTTGACTATGTGTCATGTATGCCATTTCAGGGGCTTACTCGTAGCCTGGGAGCATCAATTAAGCTCCTATTTTGAGTTTCATTCTCAAGTTTTTCATTATCTTCATAGCACTTTCCCATTTATCGGGTGATTTCATCACAAAATCTCTGGGAATAAGTGAGTGAAGGAGTACAAGAATTATTCCCATTTTGCTGATGGCAAAGTACCTTG